CCCGTGCCAGCGCGTCTCATTGCCTCAGTGCCTGCAGTGCCTCTGGTCCCCGCGCGCTTGAGGGCGGGGGGTGCCCGGCCAGGAAGACGACGCCGAGCTGGGCTTGGAGCGCAGCCCCATGCGCGAGATCGTGGAGTTCTGGCATTCGAATCTGTCGCCCGAGATTGAGGTCAAACTAGTTGCTGCATTGCGGAGGCTCGAGATGTTGAAGGAGCACGGGGTCGACTTTGAGCGCTCGTCTATTTGTGCCGGCACTGGCATCAGCACTTGGTGGGCAGGGGGTGGTCTGTGATTGGGCGTTTGTCTGTCTTCTCTTCGCGTTCAAGTGGGCCGATGCTGCGTGCCTCTCCAGTCGTAAGAAGCTCGTCTCGTTGCGCGTGTCGGATCCGATCTAGAAGGATGTGCTTGAGTGTCGCGTGCCCCTTCCTGCTTCCCCCCCTCCGCGTCCGCCCCGCGTGGATGCGCGCGCGCGCGCCCCTCTTGCGCCGTCTGGCTTGCCCTGACCTCTGCGCTCGGCGTGAGAGAGGCGCTCTTGGGAAGGGGAGGTGCCGCAAACCGTTGGCGAGCACTTGGAACAAACTATATGGCCTGGATATCCCGTTCTTGTTCTTTGTATTGCGAGAAGAAGGAGTGCAAGAGGGACTTCATTGCATCGCAGTTCAGCCTTTCTTTCCTCGTGGAGGACATGTCCGAGCTTACGCAGCATTCGGCTGTAAACTTGGTGACCGGCGGCGAGGCGCAGCTATTGCGGCCTTGTTTCGAGGTGGACGCTGGGGTCGCATGCGTCAGCAGGACGCCGCTGAATCGCAATGCTGGTGCTAATAGGGGATGTGTGCAAGACAACAGGGAGTCCACAGGGATAGGCTTCCGAACGGCTCTCAAGATCATCGACGCCCACAGTCCCACGGGCGTTTCGCTCGAGTGCGTGACGGGCGTTGGCGACAACACCGACGGCTACGTTATATTCGACGCAGAATGATTGTTGCCGGAGCTTCGAAAGAAAGGATACTGGGCACATATGTCACAGATGGATACTCTTGATGCTGCGGAGTACGGTTCCGCTGTTCCCCGCGTGAAGCTGTGGTGGGCGGCTTGGTTGTCCTTGGAAGGGTCTCACGGGCAGATCTCAGCCTTCTTCGCGTCCATCTTGTACGCCCTCAAGACCAACGGGCGGCACGCCGTCGACATCTTGCGCTTCGTCACGGTGGGCCTCGAGAAGCTCGAGGCCGAGGCGCGCCGCATCAGCATGCCCTTGCTTCATCCAGCTCCAGAGACGAGCCCGCTTGGAAGTCCGACCACAAGCAGATGTTAGAGAATAACGGCTTGCACTGGCCACCATCGCGCCCGGCAGCAGGGGCGCCGTCTCAGGTGTCGGAAGGCGGCTTATTTGCTCGCGAATGGGAGGCATGCATCTTATTGGGCCATCTGTTTCCGCCGCAAGAGGACCCCGTTGTTTTGGTGGAGTTCGTTGACATCAACCAGTCGATGCCCGGGCTCATCGGCTCACTGCTCGACGAAGGCCACGGGGCTCTCAGGCCTGCCGCGCAGTCTCCGTGGGCGACGGCTCCCCCTGCACTAGTAGTAGGGTCGGGCAAACTCGTTGTGAGGTGCCGGGTGCACGTCTCAGGCGCCCTGCAGAGCCCCGCGGCCCGGGGTATCAGGATCTGCGAGGGGTGCGAGGTCATGCGGATGATCGGCTGGGCGGACACCACGCACCGAGTCCCGGGCGGCGGCTTCGCGCAGGACCAGGCCTTCATGCTCTTGAACGTGGCTGGCAACGCCTACTGCATGTACCACGCCATCCCATGGATGATTGCCTCCTACGCCACCTTCGGCGCGTACTACTCCCTCCAGCCGGAGGGCTCGGACGAGATGGCCGCGGACGGGGAGGGGGACGAGGAGGTGGTCGGCAGCAGTGAGTCGGAGACAGACGCGTCGTCAGATTAGGGTTCCTAGAGCATCGCCCGTCCAGAAACGATGTCGAGAAGTGAGCACTTCGCGGGGGTCCAAGGTTCCACGGGCGTCGCCGGGTCACGCCTATGGGCTGACTGGTCGGATCGGTTGTGAGATCGCGTTGCAGAGTGCTAGTTTCGTCAGCGGAAGTGCGCCTTCCGCACTCTGGGCAGTTCTATGTCAGGGAAGCGTTTGTGCTCGTGCTCGCTCCCAGGAGACCCGCCTAGAGAAGTTGCGCAGTGCGTGCAAGTAGTGGGTTGGATCACAATGTTGCTGGTCTGCCCTCAGTCCTCCTTGCGTCGTGCCTGCCAGGACCTGTCTCCGCCCGCCCCCCCCCCCCCCCCTGGTCTGCCAAAAGAACGTCTGCTCCGAAAAGGGCCAGCGGTTTGGGGGGGCGGGGCCCAGGGGGTAATGCAATCCATCCCAGTCCAGCCAGCTTAGTTTGCGAGGTCCCAGCGTTTTTGGGAGGAGCTCGGGGCACATCAGCTGTGTCACGCTTGCTAACCATATCCAATAGTACCTTCCCACGGTCATCCCTAGGCCCCTCATTGTTCATGTCGTTTACATGCCGCCGCGGACGGGCGCGGCCATCCTTCGGCGGCGTTTCGATGGGGGGGGGGGCGACATCGTCAATGCATGTGCTCGACGATGGTACTTACACGTATTCCGTTTAGTCGGTGGGGGCGCAGGGAAACATGACCATGGTCACGTTACAGATGCACGCGTACGCCGTTGCACCTACTTCACCGTTTCGGGAATATGGCTGATGCCCAGTCTTGGAGCACAGGGTCATGCCGTTCTGAAGCCCCATGCCACTTCGCCAAGGGGTGCCTTCCTTCTTTCTCACCATCCCCCGCTTCATTCCAACTATCCCACCTTGCTCCTGCCCCCTAGTTCGCCCTCGCCCTCGCCCACCTGCCCCGGCGCCCTCTACCTCGCAGATCGCCCAGAGCGGAAGGGGGGACTTGGACGCATAGAGAGAGAGAGAGAGAGAGAGAGAGAGAGAGAGAGAGAGAGAGAGAGAGAGAGAGAGAGAGAGAGAGAGGGAGAAAAAACGAGGGAAATAGAGAGAGAGATATGCATATCCTAACACTGGCACGTTTTCTCAGGCCTAGAGAGCGAACTTCAGGGCGACATCTGCCTGCTGAATCAGCAGCTGCAGCGAGATGTGCAGATATAAGATAGAGAGAGAGAGATAGCGTGAGAGAGTTGTGCCTGCAGACAATCAGGCACGCAACCGACGATCTGGGGAGGTGGGGGATGGGGGGGGGGGGGGGGGGGATACGGTCGGGCAACAGGGGTGGCGAAGTGGAGAGGGGCGAAGGATCAGGGGCAGGTGGAAGAGGAAGACGATGGTGGAGGATGAACAGAGGAGCAGGCCTTCGTGAACAGGGCCTTTGGCCCAGGTGGCGGCTCGCCAATTTTGAGCCTTTCCGTTTCCGAGAGGTTCCCAGACAAGAATCTCGCGATGGGGGCCCCAGCCACCGACCGCGAGATGGCTCGCGCTGGCGTTGGGGAGCCGCCGCCCGCGATCGCCCTTCCCTCGCTGTTTGCTGGAGAGTCCGCCCCGCCCGCCAAGAAGAATAAGAAGAGCCGAGCTACGGCGCCAGAGCAGGATTGCAGTTCTGGGAGGGGGGGGGGGGGTAGTGGGGGGGGGGCAAGCGGCGCTCGTTCTAAAGTGGTCGTAGATACCCCGGCCATGGGGTGCCCCCGTGGGGGGCATCCAGACCGGCAGTGCCAGCACCGGCGGGCCTGTCAATATCGCGCGGCAGGGCGAGTTGATATTGTTTTTTTCGGCGTCGCCATTGTAAGCAAATTACCCCAGTGCGACCCCACCTAGAAGTTGGAACCCCTAGGAAAGCAGCATTAGTTGCTATGCTATGCCATGATATGCTGCGCTATGCTATGCTATGATATGATATACTGTGATATGCTATGCGATGCGATACTAAGCTATGATATGTCATGCTTCGCTGTGCTATGCTAAGCTATGATGTGCTATGTTATGCTAAGCTGCGCTGTGCTGTGCGATTCTATGCTATGCTATGCTGCGCTGTGTTATGCCGCGCTGTGCTGTGCTGCGCTATGCTATGCTATGTTATGCTGGGCTATGCTGGGCTATGCTATGATATGCTGTGCTGCGCTGTGCTATGCTACGCTATGCTTTGCTATGATGTGCTCTGCGATGTTAAAGCTTAGCGAAGCTAAGATGAAGGTAAGCTAAGCTAAGCTAAACCTTAGCTAAGATGAAGCTAAGCTAAGCTAAGATGAAATAAGCTAAGCTAAGATGATATAAGCAACGCTAAGCTAAGGGGACGCAACTGGGGGAACCGCGGGGCGGATACTGGGGGAACCGCCCGGGGCGCTTTCCACAGCCCGGCCCCTTTAAAGCCCAGAGAGTAAGAACCCTTCTAGGCAGAGCCTGGGTAGGGAACTGAGGGCCATGCGTTTGGCCCGATCCCAGTCGGCCCATGGGAAAACATAGGGCATCGAGGATATATCGCGCGGCCTCGTGGGCGATTGGGCTCCATGGGCGCCCTCCTGAGGCAATCTCGGCGGCAGACGGGCGTCGCTTGCAAGGTCTGGCTTCCGCTGTCCTGGGCCAGGCCTTTCGCTGGCCTTTCGTGAGGGCATCGTAGGACAATCCCAGCGTCGCTTGGACCCCATGCCCACGCCCTCCATGGACGCTTTCTTGTGTCATCGCTCCTCTGCCAAGATCCAGTTCTTCCTTGGCCCGCCCTCCGATTTTTCATATCCTTCATTTGTTGTTGTCCTCCCTCTCTCTCTTTGTCCCTCCTGCTCCGTTTTGTGTTTGCGATCTCTCCCTCTCTCTCTCTCTCTCTCTCTCTCTCTCTCTCCCTCTCTCTCTCTCTCTCTCTCTCTCTCTCTCTCTCTCTCTCTCTCTCTCTCTCTCTCTCTCTCTCTCTCTCTCGCTCGCTCGCTCGCTCGCTCGCTCTCGCCGCCGTTCGCGCGGGAGGGCGGCGATCGCGCAGACGGCGCCGGCAGCGACCTTGGCGTTGGCGGAGGGTCTACAGTTCAGCAGTGCCCAGACGGTCGGAAGTGCCAGACGTGCCGCCACAAGGATGATCAGTGGGACCCTGTTTGCTTGAAGCGCGACATCAAAGTGCCGATGTGGTGGGGCAAACCGTTCGACAAGACCACGGGCGATCGGGTTCACAATGCCATGCCGTGAGCGCTGCCCTTCCCCTCCCCCCACCTTGCACCTCCTCTGCCTCGAGCCGGGCTCTTGAGAGGTCCACTGAGTCCTTGGGTATGCGGTATGCGTGAGGCTCTGGAGAGGTCCGCTGGGTTCCTGGGTTCCGACGGGATCTGGAATGCCCTTTGCCCCTGATCCGCCCGGGGGCTCAGCCCCGTTAGGTCTGGCCACCTGGCTGGAGATCGATGGGGGGCGCGTTTGGGCAGGGGGGGTGGCGGCGAGGATAGAAGGAGGATGATGAATAATACCAAGAAGAAGTGACATATCTGATGGAGGAGGTTGATGAGGGGGGGGGGGGGGGGGCTTTCTGCTTCGCTCGGGCCCAACGCCCAGGCAAGACTCACGGCGCGTTCTGCGGCTACTGCATGAAGATATACTTCGGGCACATCAAGCACGCCTTGACGCAGCCCACCAGCTTCTCCGAGTACAGCAAGTTCTTGGGCGTGGACGTTAAGAGGTTGGAACGGCACCAGGGCATGGTCGACGGGGTCGTCGAGGCCATGGTGAAGGCCAACCTCTCGGACCCCAGATCCCACTTCCGCGTGGATTGGGAGGCGGTGCGGGACAAGGCCCGGGGGGGCTCGCAATCGATCGAACCCCGTTCAGAGGAGGGGGGGACGTTCAGAATGGGGTGGGGGAGGAGGAGGATGAGGATGAGGGGGGGAGGAGGAGGAGGAGGAGGAGGAGGAGGAGGAGGAGGAGGCGGGGGAGGAGTGAGGAGGAGGAGAGGAGGACGGGAGAGAGGAGCAGGGAGAGGAGGGAGGAGGGGAGGAGGGGGAGGAGGAGGAGGAGGAGATGAGGGGGAGGGGTCGGGGGGAGGGGAGGATGAGAAGGGGGTGGGATACGAGCCAGGTTTTACGATGGAAGAGGAGGAGGAGGGGGGGGAGGAGAGGAGGAGGAGGAGGAGGAGGAGGGGAGGAGGAGGACCAGGAGGAGGAGGGGGAGGATGCGCATTATTGGGGAAGTGCGTTGAGGAAGTTGAGAAGGACGTGGAGGCGTTGGCCTGGGACGAGGCAGCTCGAGTCGAGGTGTTCGGGGTTGAGTTTGGAGGGCGCCTTGGATGATCAGGAGGAGGAGGAGGAGGAGGAGGAGGAGGAGGAGGCAGGCGGCATAGGTCATAGGTGGTGAACTTGGGCGCAGGCGGAGGGAACTGCAGGGGGCGCGGGGGCCGAGGAGGAGGAGGAGGCGGGCGCAGGAGGAGGGGGGGAGGAGAAGGAGGAGGAGGAGGAGGAGATGGAGATGGCCCCGAGAAGGTCAGCCTCGAGATCGTCAAGAGGAGGCAGGCCGTTGTCGAGGGCGCGGGGGGGTACCGCCATCTCCCGATTGCCGAGTACGAGCAGGAGTTCAAGAAGTTCGAGACCAACGGCATGGCGGCTCATGGCCACAAGGAGTGGACTTACAATGGCGTGCCTGGGTACTACGTCCCCAACAGGACAACAACTTTCAAGTTCGTGACGATCGACGAGTCCGTCGTCACGACGCAGGCTGGGTCGACGGAGGGTTGCGAGATCACGAAGGCCCAGCTCGATCGAATTTCCTCGGCCTTCTTCACCGATCTCATGAGCTTCGTCAACGGCCGCGGCAACTCCGCGGAGCCTGCGATGCTGCGCGTGAACTTGGGCTCGCAGGGCGACGTGGCGCTGCCCGCGCCGCCGGCCAGCAGCGACTCCGCGCTGCCGGCGGGGGCTTCGCCCGCCGCGAGCCCCCCGCCAAAGGGCCCCCCGCCGGCGGCCGAGCCCGAGCCTGGGTCTGGCAACAAGCGTGGAGCACCCGCCGACGCTGTCGACGGCGCGGCCGAGGATCTAGAGACGAAGCCGAAGCCCGCCAGGAAGAGCGGCGGGAAGGCCGCTGCCGCAGGACAGGCGTCCACCAGCGCGGGAGCCAAGAAGAAGGCGGGCAAACCTCCGAAGAAGTGGGGCCCCGTCATCGAGGCCGTGCGCACTAGCTTCGCGAACTCGAGCTCGAACGACCCGAACTTCTGGGGCTCCGAGGCGAAGACCCAGATCAAGCAGATGAACGCCTACTCGAAGGACATCCTCTCGAGGTGCCGCAAAACGACTGACGCTGAGGAGGTTACCACCTTGGAACGATTGATGAAAGAGCTCGTCGTTATGATTGCTTTCGTTACCGTCGTGAAGGACCACGGGGTAGACTCGGAGCAGTTCAAAGAGGTGCACGACTTGCAGGTCTGAGGGCTGTTCGCAGACCAGAGGACCGTCGAAGGGCCCACAACCTTCGCCGCGAGGCAGCTTCTAGCTTCGCCCCCGCGGCCAAGGTTGAGGGCCTTCCGATGGGCCAGCGGGATGTGAATGCCATCGCGGCCGAGGTGACATCGATGGGCTTGGCACCCGTGGTGACGCTGACGCTTCCGACCCACATCAAGTGGGCGCGGCACAAGATGGACATCAGGGACACAGATGACACCGGCAGGTGGTTCTCCAGGATCAGCACCCGGGACCTCGCCCAGGTCGGTTTCGGCGGCAGCGCGCTTCAGACCGAGCAGGACAAGCTTGTCTCAGTTCGGCTGGCGGCGGCTTTGAAGCTCAAATCAAAGAAAGAGAGGCTCGACGCCCTGGGCGACCTCTTCGACATGGACCGCGAACTGGACCTCGTCGACAACGTCAAGGACTTCTGCGAGGCCCTTACCGTGTTGATCGCCGCGCCGAGCTTCACGGACGCTTCGGTCTGCGTGGAGGCGTTGTCTGGGGCCTTCGAGGCCATCGGCAGCCCTGCGATATCCAGCCTCGTCTCGTGCGGTGTCCTCACGGGCTTTCCGCATGGGAAGGAGTGGATGAAGGAGATGAAGCTCTACATGGCTCAGGCGGGGATAGGGCCGCAGAGACGATGGACAAGGAAGAGGGGGATGATGGGGACGTGGAGGAGGGGGGCGTGGACGAGGGAGATGAGGGCGATGAGGAGTAGGAGGAGGAGGAGGAGTACGAGGAGGAGGAGGAGGATAAAGAGGATGATGAGGAAGAGGAGGCCAGGGCATCCTGTCTACTTTCGCCCCGTCCCGAATACTCCCTCTCCCTTTGGTGCCGTTATTCTTCCTGCCTTCGCTCTTCTTGCCTGCCCCTTGCTCATCTCCCCTCTCTTCATTTGTCCGCCCCCCTTCCCCATGTGCGCTTGCTGCCCTCGCCCTTCCTGCCCTTTTCCACCTTCCTCCTCCCCTCTCCTCGTCTTGCCGACTCAGCCCTCCTCATCCAGCCCCCCTGGTGTCTGGGGCCAGCTCGTCGCATTCTCATTTCTCCGGGGCAAGGGGGGCGGGGGCGAGCTCCCAGGTGCAGAACTCCAAGGCGGACGTCGAGTCCATGGCCGCTCTGGGCGAGGCGATCGCTGCGACGATTAGAGGCGCGCCGTTTCCCACCGGCCCAAATGGCCTTGTCGAAGCCTTCTGTTTTCGGTGTTTCCAGCTTGTCTTGCGTTCGTATCCCCCCCCATGGTTTTGCGGGCCGAACCCTTGGCCCGACGGCCCCCCTGACCCTTCGGTGATCAACGGCCTTGGCCCTGGGATCGAACGCCCATTCCTTAGGCGTCGCCGTCGATGGCGACGCCTGAGAAGGATGGCTAGGGCGATGCGGGGATCCCCGCGCATTCTTAGCTATCCTCTTGCTCCTCTGCTCTCGCGCCCCTGCCCATCCCAACCTCGCAGGCGCTCCGTCCGACGGCGCGGAGCCGGCGGAGTTGAGCGCGATCGCCGCGCAGGTGGGTTCCTACATCTCGAAGCGCGCCGCCGTCGTCGACAGGTGCCCCGAGCTATTCTTGGCCGAGTTGCCCACGACTGAGAGCATGGGCGCAACCTTCGCCCCGGTGGTCTTAGCAGCGTGGAAGCGTTGCTTTGCTGATGTTCTGACTCAGGAGCGGAGCGCCTCGGCTGCTGGACGGCGTCCCAGCGCACCGCCTCCGTGGCGCTGACAGAGGCCAGCAAGGTTGCCTTCCCTGGCTCGACGGCCTCGCCTTTCGTGGAGGCTGCGAAGAAGTGCGAGCGCATCGGCACCTGGCTGACCAGCGTCAACTCTTTCCTGTCGCAGGAGGCGTCAAGCGCCCAGGTCAGCGCCGTCCGGGACATGCAGCTGGGCTACAACAGGGACGTGGCCCAACCGTTTCCGCTGGAGGTTCAGGAGAGCGATTCATTCTTCAGCGAGTGCTTGAGCTCCTTTGTCAAGTCCCCACTGCTCAGGGCTGGCGGCGCCTACAACGCAAAGATCATGGGAGTGCTCACGGAGGCAGGCAACGCCAAGCTCGCGCCCATCCTGTCGGCCATCTCGCATTTGTTGAAGTGCTCGACGGATTCCGCGCACCCTGTGCGCAGCTTCGACCCTGCCTGCATTGTGAAGGAGGACTTCGCCGCGATGAAAGCGGCGATCCCATCGCCGGACACTTGGGCGGCCGCCACTGCTTGGGCGTCGGGCTTGGGCGACCAGTTGCTGGGGAATCAATTGAACGTCATCCGCAACATCTTTGCGGTCACTGTCAGCCTGGTCGACGTTTTCGCGATCGCCGAAGAGAAGTCTGCGCCGTGTAAGGTGCATGTTGATTGCGTGCTGCACCTCCGCACGGTCGCGCGCGGCCTGGCTACCGTTTCTGGGTGTTGGTCTCAACCTTCGCCTAACGACGAGAGTCCATACCACGTCAACGTGCTGCGGGGCCTGATCGATTACGCGAGCTTCTCTAGCGCGCTGGCGTACCAGGTGAAGGTCGTCCAGTTGACCATCAGCAGCACTTGGACGTCGATGATCAAGGGTGACGTCGACCGCATCGCCGCCGGCTGCCCTGTCTGGAGGCCTTTCAAGGCGGAGATGTGCTCGAATGCCGCCGTGGTGAAGTCGCTCATCGATAACAAGGCGCCGCGCCGAACAATCAATGGATGAGGATTATGATGATCTAAAGTATGATGATTGGGGTGGTGATGGTGAGACTTATGAGGTGGATGATGAGTTAGGGGTGTAGGAGGCGGGGGTGGATGGGGGGATGGAAAGGCGGTCAGGGGGGGGAGGGAGGGGGAGCAGAATGAGGAGGAGGAGGAAGGAGGAGGAGAGGAGAGGAGGAGGAGGGAGGGGGGGGGGATGGGGGGGGAGGAATGAGAAACCATACCAGCAACACAACAACCAAGAAGAAGAGGACGGAGGAGGAGGAGAGGAGGAGGAGGAGGAGCAGCAGCAGCATGAGGAGCAGGGGGCGGGGGGGCCGAGGCGTCACCCACCGCCCACCCAGCCCCAGACACGGGGCCGTCGGGTTCTGGGGGGGTTCCGCCCACCCCCGCCCTGCCCGCCAGCAGGCTTACAAGCAGCTCGGCGACTGGGCGTCCAGCTTGAAGGAGAAGCTGAACCTGGTCAAGGCTTTGCAGAAGGACCCCTCTTTCTCCTTTGGCCCCTCCCTCGAGCCCCCCGGACTCCTGGTGCGGATTTGGATCAGGAGCAGGCTTAGGGGGCCGAGGAGCAGGGGGGGGAGGAGGAGGCGGAGGGAAGAGGAGGAAGAGGATGAGGAGGGGCAGGGGTGGTGGGGGGGCAAGAGGAGGGGGGGGGAGAAGGAGGAGGAGGAGGAGAAGGAGGAGGAGGAGGTGGAGGAGGAGGAGGAGGAGAAGCAGGAGGAGGAGGAGGAAGGAAGAGGAGGAGGAGGGACGAGGAGAAGGAGAAGGAGGAGGAGGAGGAGGAGGAGGAAGAAAGGAAAGGAGGAGGAGGAGGAGGATGGGGGAGGAAGGGGGGGGTGGAGGAGAAGGAAGAGGGGGGGGGGGGGGACGGAGGATGGAGGAAGGGCCTTCCGCAGAGGACAACTTGGGCCCGTTCGTCGCCTGCGACGTGGTCAAGAGCGGGCGGGGGGCCCAGGAGTTGGCCGTGGAGACGGTCTCCAACGCGTTCATCTTTTTCCACGCGCACGTGGAGTGGCCGAAGTCCATTCGCAACCCGATCCCTGCGAAGAAGGCAGCCTTCTTTTTCATGGGGATCTGAGTGTGAATGGACTTTGGCCGTTTCGGAGGCCATCGACGAGTTGCGCAGGCAGCTCAAGCGCTGAAAGGGTGGCGTACACTCCGCAGCAGGAGTTCGTCTTCCAGAGCTGGGGGGCGGCACGCTCATCGAGTTGATGCCGAGGGCCCCCGCCGAGGCCACGCGTTTCCTTTCGGAGTGGAGGGCGCAGGGGGAGGGGGGGCGGGGGTGGGGGGGGGGGGATGAGGCGGGATGCGGGGGGAGGGAGGAGGGGGGTGGAGAAGGGGGGAGGAAGGACGGAGGAGGCAGGAGGAATAATGGATGAAGGAGGAGGAGGAGGAAGAGGCGGAGGAGCAAGAGGAGGGGGGAGGAGGAGGGCGAGGAGAAGGAGGAGGAGGGGGAGTTGGAGGAGGAGGAGTTGGAGGAGGAGGAGGAGGAGGAGGAGGAGGAGGAGGACGAGGGGGGGGGGCTGCCTGTGCCCCACGCGGCCCCCTTGGCCACTCCCCGCTCATGACCCCTTGCCCCGCGACCCCAGTGACTGAGGCGAGGGGTATTCGGCGATGGGCCATCGGTTTGTCTTGGTGTAACGTTCGCCTTCAGCGCCGGCCGTGCCTGGTGGTGCGCTGCCGTGCCGTTGTCAGCTGTCATCCCTGCCCTCTTTCGCCTCGCCAGATCTGCCTGCCCGTGTAGCGCTATCCCCCCCTAAGCCCGTCTCCCGCGCAGGCGACGGCGGAGGTCGTCGCGCAGATCATCGGCGACCAGTGGGCCTCCGTGGAGGGCAGGCCCGAGGCGCCCGCGGAGGCGGCCCCGCCTGCAGAGGCGCCCGCGGCGGTGCCCGAGCCGCCGGCTGCCGCGCTGGCGGAGGAGGCGGGGGCCGACGTCCCCGGGGCGGGCGCAGCCGCCGCTGCAGGGACTCCACCCTTCCCCCTTGGCTTTCTCACTCTCGCCTCTTCTTATCCATCCCTCTCCCCCCAGCTCCGTCGTCCTCTCCTACCCCCCTCTCCTCTCCTTGCAGCTTCCTCTTCCTCCTCCCAGCCCTTCCCTCCTCCTCCCTCTTGTCCAGGGATCAGGGCCTTCGAGCGAGTCGGGGGGCTTTCTGGCTTCGGCAGTCTGCGGGGGCTCCGCGGGATTCCAGGGGTGCATCTCTGGACTTCACGGCTTCGCGTTTCTCTGGGAAGGAGGAGAGGGGGGGAGAGGAGAGGAGGGGTGGCAAGAAGTGGGAGAACGTGAGGTGGTGGAGGAGAACGATGGGGATCGTGCAGAGCAGGAGGTGGAGGCAGGAGGAGGAGGAGGAGGAGGAGGAGGAGGGGGAGGAGGAGTGGGAGGGGGATGGCAGGGAGGAGGAGGTGATGGAGGAGAAGGGGGAGGATGAGCGTGAGGGAGCGTCGGTCGATCGGCCTTCGAAGGACGAAGAAGCGCGGCCTCCTCGACCTGGCGAAGGCCGCCAAGCGCCAGCGCGCCTGAGCGGGCCCTCAGCGCACCAGGGGGCACGCACCCTCGACGGCCCTGGGCGCTGAGGGGAAGCGGCCAGTGCGGGAAAAATGGTGGAGATAAGAGGAGGTAACGGGGGTCAGGGGGCGGCGAGGAGGAGCCCCTCTCAGGACGAGCAGGAGGAGTGGGTGGAGTAGGAGTAGGACGAGTCGAAGAAGGAGCAGGAGAGAGTTAGCAGGAGTAGGGGGAGAAGCAGGAGTAGGGGTCGGAGTCTGGTAATTGGGGGCACGCGTAGGAGTAGGAACTACATAGTACATGGGGTAGCAGCGTGATGATTAGAAGGAGGATGGCCGCCTCCTTTCGTTGCCGCGCGGCTGCCGGCAGCAGCCCCGCGGTAGGGCAGGGGAAAGTGAGAGGAGGGGGAGGAGAAGGAGGTGGAAGGGAACGGTGACGATGAAAGCGGGAAGAGGGTGTGAGGAGGAGGAGGAGGAGGAGGAGGAGGAGGAGGAGGAGGAGGTATGGCCATCGGTGCTACCTACAGTATGAGTCGACGTGCTGCCGAGTTCGATGGCGCGATGCGTGCTCTTGCCCTCCGTGTCGGGACCGTGTGCGCCAGGGATTGTTCAGCATGGCGTATTCTGGGGCTGTCATTGCCACCGTATCCCTTATTCCTCGGTGGCTTGCTACACCAATCGTTATTACCACCATTGTTTTTGACCTGTTCAACGCCATTCAATTCAATTATACCATCGTCATAATAATTTCATATGTTAATATTCTTGATTCGTCATTATATTCATTAACTAAATTCATTTGAATCGTTGGTCTATCATATGAATATGACATATTTTTGGATTTATCATATTAATTTATCATCGGTTCCAAGAGAGTAGCAGGTCTGGCGCCTCAAGAAAAGGAGGATGAGGAGGAGGAGAAGAAAGAGGAGGAGGAGGATGAAGAAGAAGAGGAGTGATCTTCTCCTCGTCCTTCCTCGCTTTCCTCCCTGAGCGCGGCGCCCAGGGGAAATCGCGTTTTGGAAACGAGCGGCTTGCATCATTGGAGCTGAAGGCGCGCGACGCTTAGGCGAGAACCGCCTGTTGCAAAGAGCCAGCCCTCCAGAAGCTTCGTATGCGAATGCGCGCGGCGCTATGGCGGGAGGTGCGTTGTGAAAACGACAGGGCCTCCATCCTTGTTGGATAATTCCTGGCTGCAGGATGGTAGTTTGTTGGGGAAGTGGGCGCACGAGGCGAATGAGAAGGAGGGGGATTAGCAGCATCAGGGGAAGGAGGAGGAAGAGGAGGAAGAGGAAGAGGATGAGGAGGAAGAGGAGGAGGAAGAGGAGGAGGAGGAGGTACGCCATGCAAGATGCGAAACGTTTACTTGCCCGAAGAATATCACATAGGTATGCCGAGTTGCAAATGAAGAACACGACATCATATCCCAGTTGAAGTTTCAGGCAACATCACTTGTGGGATAAGCAACTCGAACATGCATGTGTGAGTTTGTGCATGATCAGGATGTAAAATCATCCATGTGATAGGAAGTCCAGACACAAGCCCAATTGAATATATCGCATGTGTATGGTGGGTCCGCGTCCACCGACCCCTTTGGGTCCCAGCTTCTGGGGCAGTTGTGAGCGCAGAAGGGGGAAACGCTACAGGAGTAGGAGGCGATTCGCTGTTATTGGGCGTTTCCAGGTTTTATTCAAAGCCCTTCTGGACCGTCTTGGGGCCCTTTTGGACAGTTGTAAGGCCCTCGTGGGCTCTTTCGGGGAGGCTCAGGCCGTCTTGGTGCTCTGCTGGGGGCGTTTTGGGGTTGTGTGTTGGGACTTTTTGGGAGCCTCTTGGAGCCGTCTTGGGCCGTCTCGGGGCTCGCTTGGGCTGTTTGGGGGCTATCTTGGGTCGTCGTGGGGCTTCTGAGGCTGTCTTAGGACCATATTGGTGCTTTGCGGGGGCCTCTGGATCCGTTCTGGGGGCGACTCAGGGGGCCTGTTGAAACGTTCTGGAGCCTTAGAGAACAAAAACAAAAAAACGCGAGTATGGCTACCTGCAAATCATGGAACGACTTTGAGTTGTTTGGCGTTCTCTTGGGGCTCTTCGGGGCATGGGGGGGGGGGGCTCTCGGACCGTCTTGGAGCTACGTGGCCTTTTTGGGGGGGCGTGTTGGAAGTCTCTTGAACTGCCGTGGAGCCATATGAGGCCGTCTTGGAACGCCCTGTCTTGGAACCGCATTGGACCTCTTTGGGGCCGACTTGGGGGCCTCTTGGGTGCACGGGGTAGTCGAAGTTCGTTCGGTGGGGGGGGGTCCCGGTCGAGTAAACATATACACAGTGGAATAGATGTTAATCATGACACACACACAAAAACACACGCACAAAGTCACATACACACAACACAAACAGCCTTTCTATATACATCTATCTATACATACATACATACACACACATACATACACACATACATACATGCATGCATACATGCATGCATACATACATACACTCACTTCTAGAATTGAATGAATCATATGCGAGCATGTGTGTACACATCTATACATATATCTGTATGCACGCATTTCATAGACAGAGTCATTGATCGCTCGTCTAGACCTCTTCAGTGGAGAATCAGATGAGCACGCACCACGCCGAGCCCTTGAGCGCACTATCGTTGTTTTTCACACATACCGCATCCAAGCGAAGCTGCTTCCTGCTAAATGATCGCAGCCTGAACCGGCCTTGGAAAGTGCCGGTTCTGCGATTGCGCTACTCGTGTCAGTTTACAAGCCTGTTGTACAGTAGCTCGTTGGAGCCTGAGCTGCGCGGAAACACGAGCGATATACATACATCTCTACCTATACGACCACCCTTCGTGTGATAAGGAGGTTCGGGGGGGGGAGGAACCAACGTCTCACTCGATCGGTTTCACTATCGATCTCACTATCGATCTCAGTGTCGGTCTCGCTCGATCGATCTCCCTCGATCGATCTCACAATCGATCTCACTCGATCTATGATATCACATTCGGTCTCACTATCGATTTCACTATCGATATCACAACCGCTCTCACAATCAACGTCATCATCATCAACAACAACATCAACATCAACATCATCATCACCAACATCATCATAATCGGGACATCGTCCTCATCATCAACACCAACATTATCATCATCACGGTCATCAACATCATCGGGACACCACCATCATAATCACCATCATCACCATCATCATCATCAACATCATCATCATCAGCAGCATCGGGACACAGTCATCGTCATCATCATCATCAGCAGCATCATCATCGGGACACCATCATGATCACCATCGTTAGCATCATCATCATCGGAACACCATCATCATCATCATCATCGACATCATCATCATCGTCGTCAGCATCATCAACATCATCATCAGCATCATCATCATCGTCGTCATCATCGGGGCACCATCATCATCATTAACAACATCAGCATCAACATCATCATTATCATCATCATCACCATCGGGACGCCATCATCAACATCATCACAATCACCATCATAATAATCATCATCATCGGGACGCCATAATCATCATCAACCTCATCATCATCATCATCATCATCATCATCATCATCATCGGGACACAATCATAATCAGCATCATCAACATCAACATCATCATACTCATCACCATCGGGACACCGTCATCGTCATCATCATGATCATCAACATAATCATCATGATCATCATCATCCTCATCATCGGGGCACCATCAGCATCATCATCATTATCATCGTCATCATCATCATCATCGACATCATCATCATCATCATCATCATCATCCTCCTCATCATCATCATCGGGACACCATCATCATCATATCATCATCATCGTCCTCATCATCATCATCAGCAGCATCACCATCATCATCGACGTCATCGTCATCATCAGCAGCAGCATCATCAGCATCACCATCACCATCACCATCATCATCATCATCATCATCATCATCATCATCATCATCATCATCATCTCATCATCATCATCATCATCATCATCATCATCATCATCATCGCGGGACACCGCGGGACACCGGCGGGACACCGCGGGGCACCGCGGGACACCGCGGGACTTTCGCGGGACACCGGCGGGACTCCGCGGGCCACCGGCCGCCTGGAAGGGAGACACTTGGTCCGGCCGCGCCTCAGCCACACGGGACTTTCGCGGGACACCGGCGGGACACCGCGGGCCACCGGCCGCCCGGAAGGTAATCATTTGGTCCGGCCGCGCCTCAGCCACAGGAGACTTTCTCTCGCCCGCCCACGCAGCTTCGCCTCGCCCGCACGCACGGCACGCACGGACACGAAATTGAAATCGATTTCCCGGTAGGGGGGCTCTCCGTTCCACTTCGATCTCACCCCCTCGCCTCCGATATATATACATATATATAAATATAAATGAGTGTGCCTATATCTATATA